GTGCGACACACAGCTGAGCGCCACTGCTGCCCACCACCTCGCCGCCCCACTGCAGACGCAGCAGGAGCCGGGCAGCCTGAGCCGGGTGGGCCGCAGAGCAAGCTTCTCACCCAGGTCCGACCACCGAGCCCCACCCAGAGCGGCGCTCACCTCAGTCACACAGAGCTTCCAACCCATCTCAGTTTTATTTGTTTTTAACTGTCATTTTCTCTTAAAATTTAGGTTTTAAACAGACAACAGGGCTGTTTGCCAAATTCCAGATAAGAATCCAAAGCACAAAGTCAAAGCTATAGCAAGAACCCACACCTGCGTAGCTCATTTCAGAAAATAGTTTTTGTTATAAAATTTATTTATAGGAGGTTATTCACATGTATTTATCAAATCTGCTCCTGAAATTCACAAGAACGTATAAACAAATTGTGCACAACAAACCCAAGGCAAGTTACGTATAAAGAGGCAACTCTAGTTTCAAAGCACAACACAGTATTCCTGCCGAGAACTGGTGGTGAAAGCAGGGCGCTTCCCGACGCCACGCGCCTCACAAGGGCACAGCGGTCACAGACCTCACCCTCCAGGCTGGCACCGTGCGGAGCACAGCGCTGAGAGGGCCAGGCACGCGGGGCCCTGTAAATGCACTTATCGATTCAAACTTCCTGGGCGCCATCCCCAGCACCACAAAGAAAAGGAAACAAAAGTAAACAAAAGACAGCGCAGTGTTGCTACTTTGGCATGAAGAAGCCGGTGGAGGGCGAGCACAGTCTGAGACACGGGACTGACCCAGCCCAGGGGAAACGCTGCCTCCCGTAGACTCCCTGCCGACGGACCCTGCAAATCCCGCTAACACAGCACTCTGCCGAGAGATAGGAAAGGAGTCAAAGTAACAAGGAGATTTTTCACCAAAGGTCTGAGGAGGCCGCGGCTTGGCCCCGGGTGGGGTGAGCCATACCCTGATATCCTCAAGGGCAGCCCAGGACAAACCGCCCACTAACGGGCAGGGCCGGCTCTGGGCACAGAGTGGTGTGAGAAGGCACCGCTCGCTCCCTGCTTTGGGGGCGTTCAGCTGACACAGGTCAGATGCGCAGACATAGTGGGTGTGGAAACTGGGCAGCCAGAGCCGTCTGTCCAAAGCTCCCTACACTGTGCCAAGAGAATTTCTACACAGAACTTTTTGCTTGAAAAAGCAGATGACAAAGACTATCTCAGACAGTGAACATTCATCTTCAGGACTTAGTCTTCCTACCTCAAACGAGCGATGGGCCGCACAGCCCTCGCTGCCAGCCCTGAGTTGTCAGCCAGAGGACGCCCGGGAACCTGGACCAGGGCACCCCCTCCATCCTGGCCACCTCCCCTGCAGAGCATCAGCTCACAGAGGAGCAGACGTCAGGACCACACCACCCACCCACCGGGCGGTCCTGAGAACCGGGGCCACCTGTGGGCAACCTTCCTCCTCCCCAGCTCTCACTGCGAATACTTTCCCGGGGATCTACCCTGAGGGCGGACTCTGTTCAGCCCACCCCATGGCCCCGCAGCTGTAGCTGCCTGGCGATCTGAATCCTGGGAGTGTGTCGGGGCTGGTGCGCCGCAAGCCTCACCAAAGCAGCCGGAGAGAGTCCTCACAGCCCCAGCACCGTCCTGCCCGCCAGCTGCACAGGGCTCACCCATGCCAGGGCACCTAACGGGACGGCTCAGGGGTTCCTCCACTTCGCGGGGAGTGAGAGTGTTAGCTAGAGGACTATGCGTGTACCGAGACAGCCACGTGACCTCATCACGGACATGTCCTGAGCCCGGGGGCCTCACCCCAGAGTGCGGCCATCAGCACAACTTCTGTGACTGCACCTCCCCCAGGTCCCCAAGGGACCCTGGCCCCTGGCACCCTTTGCACGCCCCAAAAGACCGAGGCTGCTATGGAACCCTGTCTCCGTCACAGTGGTTGAAAGGACCTGCCTTCCTCTCACTTTTAATATACAGTTTGTTCCATTAAAAAATGATCAACATTTTAAGCGGGGAAAAAGAGAAGTGGTCTAGTAGATTAAACTTTAAAAGTGTTTTCTTATTTGCTTTACAAATATACACTGCAACTTTTACAACACTCACTCCAGTCTGACCTCCAGAGCTGACCATTCAGAGAACAAGAGTCCTGACTTCAAGGGTGCGCATTATGACAGACACACAAAGGACCTCCGAAAACTGTGCAACTGGCAAAACTACTCAAGGTGACCAGAAGGCTCAGGCATCGGATGCAATTCCTTGTTTTCCAACAGCACACAAACTCCTTACAGGGAAAAAAACATCACCTCATCTGAGTGGTCACCTTCAGTTTACAGAATGCCCGGGACCAACAGGCCCACCACACAGCTCTACTACGAAAGCTTTCTCTTCTTGAAACTGCTGTCCTCTTCCAGTCTCCTGCTGTCCCAGGCAGAGTTGTTCCAGTAGTAAGTTGCGGAGCCGCAGTCCTCCTGCTCGCCCTCGTCGAAGGCCCAAGCTTCTCCCCTGGAGCCCAGCCAGCCCTCCTGGTCACCGCCGGCAGCGGGAGGCTCACCTGGTGCCAGAGATCTGCAGTGGCTCTGAAGGGCGACGTCAGCGGCAGGTGGCTGCAGGGGAGCGCTGAAGTCCTGGTAGGTCACGGGGACGCCCAGCTCTGCCCAGGGAGGCACGGCTCCAGGGTGCTGGGGGCTCGCGTCCTGTGGGTCCCTGAGGAACGTCCCTGACTTGGCTTCAGCTTCAAATCTCTTTAGCAGTCGTGGGTCCCGGAGTCGTTCCCGAAGGGGCGACCTTTCAGGATCCTTTGGGACCACAGCTTCGTTGGAGTGAGAGGGGCTGTGGTACAGAGGAGTGGCGGAGGACGTTGTGTCGAGCCCACTGTCCAGCTTGTGGCTGGGCAGGCCGCCCTGGGGCCTGGACACCTCGGGGGCGACGGTGGGCGGGTGGGTCAGGCTCCGCTGCAGCTGGGGCTTCAGTTTCAGGATCTTCATCGCGTCGTGTCTGTAGTTCTTGTCACTGGTCTTGACGATGGCTCCGCGCTTCTGAGCATCCTGAATCAGTTCGTTCCAATGATGGTTTTCCTTGAAACGAAAAGAAGAGAAGGAAGAAACAATTATACACCAAAGAAACACACCCGGCAAGCACGGGGCTGTAGCTTTTGTTTCTCAACAAATAATATGTAAACGTTCATGATTAGACTCCCAAGAATCCACTGTTCATCAGACAAAACTAAAAAGAAAGAAAGGGAGCTGCAGTACAGGGTGACGCAGCCGCGCGGCTGAGCACCTCGGGCTGTCCTCCACACTCGCGCCGGGCCACCTGGCAGTCAGCTGCCCCGCAGATCTGCACCAGCTGCCGACGCTTCCTGTCTACTTAGGTTCCCACTCGTTCGGATGAAATAAAATTAAAAATTCAGCTCCCCCGCTGCGCCAGCCCCACTCCCAGTGAACAACGGTCCCCTCTTGCGGGTGGAGTGGGGAGGCACGGCTGCAGAGGCCGACTTCACAGGCCCACGAGCTGCGAGAAAGACGCCTCAATATCCTGACCCACGGAGACAGCAGGCCGACGCGACCATCCCACTTTGTTTCTTTTCCAGAGGTGCTTAAGAAATGAAAAGCACATCTGGGGGAAAATACACAATGCGCTTTTACCTAGCAGTTAACTACTGCTTGACGGCCACTACAGCGTGCAGCGTGGGTCTCCTTGGAAAGAACCCAGAATGAACCAAGGTAGGGTGTAAGGAAAAACAAGCGGACAGCTACGTCACACAGGCTCCTGCACTACCTACACGGGCGGGCGGCGGCGGAGGGGCTGCACGACAGCCCTGGCTGTGTGACGTCGGTCTCCTCTGGGCCTGTTTCCTCACAGGTGAAAGTGGAATACAGCCCGGTAGGCAGCACGCGGCCGACACACACGTGGGAGGGACGGCCTTGCTGTTTCTGCTAAGTTGACTACACCCAAACTTGGCCTTTTCACAACGGCAGTGTCTGAGAAAGGACCGTTACACTCTGCCTTCTCAGAGGAAATCAAGTGCTTTCGGGACCTATTCCATTTTCACAAGGAGCTAAGGAATCCAAGAGAAAGAAACCCAGAACCAAAGACGCCGCCCAGCTGGGGCTCCTGCTGTGGCCTTGTGCTGGCTCTGTGCCCAGCAGTGCCCCCACCCCACAGCAGGGCCACCACCATGTCATCAACCGAGGCCACTGCTCTGCCAAAGCCAGGCTCAACTTCCAAACTCCAGCCGCCCTGCCCTGGCCCTGGCCCTGGTAGGGCTGTCCCACCTCCTCTGTGCGTGCCAGCCTTGGAATTGGCGACAGCTCTCCTCCATCCCAAGTCTCATCCCGAGGGCACTGCCAGGTGCTAACAACAGTGGAGTCCACAGAGGCATCAGGACGAGACTCGTCCCTGGCAGTCTCACCTCTGCAAGTTTACAGCCTCACAACCTGTCATACAGTCACACTGTTGTGCTCCACCGTACAATAAGAGTTTTAACAGGTTATTTGGCTGAAAAGTCATTTAACACTCAGAACACCTCATGGTCACAGGAAAAATAATTTTTAAAATCCTTTGTTTTGAGATACAGATGCACAGGAAGTTGCAAAGAAAGGTTGCATCAGTTTTCCTACGAAAATGACTTTTCAACAATGTACATATAAATTCAAGGTACACATACATTTTTGTGGTAAAGCAGCATGATAATGTGAGATTGTAACTTCTTTTAAGAGGCACACAAACCACCTCTGTGTGGTCAAAGTACACAGCTATGTAGACGGAGCTGAGAGGAAGAACAGAGGTGGATCTGGGCGCCCCCTGGTGGTACTAAGGGGAGGGGGAAAAAACTGCTGGGTCAGCTCCTCTCATCTGGTGCCCAATAACTGACTCCTTAAACCCCCAGGAGCCATCACACCCTGAGACAGAGGAGACGGGGCAGATGCACAGCACTGATGCCAGCCAGCAGCCTTGTCTGTCCATGGCAGAGCACAGCCGTGTGCCAGCAGCACAGGTCAGGCACCGACCCCGAGGCCGCTCCTTCCTGCACTCTCTGGCATCAGAAGGGACCAGTAGGGCGACAGCAATTCAGCCGTTCTCAGCAGTTCACATGAGTGGGCTCATGTAGTTTTTTGCTTGTTTCTTTTCCAGTACTGGGGATCAAACTCAGGACCTTGCGCTTGTGAGGTAGGCATGGTGCCACTGAGATACATCCCCGGCCCTGTTTCTTCATAACCTTATGACACAGAGAACTCGGGGCAGATACTCAGGCTTTGGGCTGAGAAAGTGAGCCGTTACACCTGTATACAAAAGCTCCCCCCACAAAGTTGCTGGAGGACATAACCTACTTTAAGACCCCAAAACCATCTCAATTTTGATGGAAAACAAAAACAAAACCCCATCCAATAACAGTAACCATGGGCAAAAATGAGTTTCCTGGGCTGGGGATTTAGCTCAGTGGTACTGCCACCTGCCTTGCAAGTGCAAGGCTCTGAGCTCGATCCCCGGTACCAAAACAGAAGGAAAAAAAAAGTTTCCTGCGGCCCCCAAGAAGCCACCTACCACCAGCGTCCTCAAATGTCCCAGGATGAAGAGGCTGTACTTGGCACGCGTGATGGCGACGTTCAACCTCTGCAGACTGGCCAGGAACCTAGCAACAGAAAGAGCGTCGTCACTGCTGCCCGTACCCAACCATGCCACACCCGCCACTGCACAGCGGCCCAGGCTCCCTCCACATCCCCCAGGGCAGATGCAGGGCTTTCTCACTCTGCCCCACCCAGGCACCTGGTGCAGAAGCAAATACCATTAAAACCAGCAGAGGAACCAAACCCCTAAGGCTTTGCTTCAGTGTCGCATTTCGTCCATTTCCTATTTTGATGTGGACGAGATGCTAGAAAATTTAAGAGCATGACATGTACTGTAGGAGACCAAGACCCCTGTGTGTCTCCACCCTCCGTGTGTGCCCCTCCACCCTGTGTGTATGTGTGCCCCTGATAGGAACTTTACACCCTCCTGGGGACATTCTGACCCCTCCCGGGAACATTCTGGCCATGCCCTACCTTATCTAGCTAGACCAGCCTAGGTTAGGTAACCTAGCAACCAGGAAACTCCCTGTTCATCCCTGCCTGCATAAAAGCTGCTGTGTGAGAAATAAAAATTGTCAAATTTTGACCATCTAAAAGAGCTCTGTCTGGTTCCTGTCTTCCTGCGTCATTCCCGTTCCCGTTCCGGGTGGTCCCCTCCTCGAGCACTACTAATAACGAACCCCGGGGCACGGGAATGACGCAGGAAGACAGGAACCAGACAGAGCTCTTTTAGATGGTCAAAATTTGACAATTTTTATTTCTCACACAGCAGCTTTTATGCAGGCAGGGATGAACAGGGAGTTTCCTGGTTGCTAGGTTACCTAACCTAGGCTGGTCTAGCTAGATAAGGTAGGGCATGGCCAGAATGTTCCCGGGAGGGGTCAGAATGTCCCCAGGAGGGTGTAAAGTTCCTATCAGGGGCACACATACACACAGGGTGGAGGGGCACACACGGAGGGTGGAGACACACAGGGGTCTTGGTCTCCTACAATGTACATCTTAAGTGCACACCAGTTCAATTATTTTTAAATATATCTGGAATATTAAAATATCACGGACACAGGGGCCAGGGATTTAGCTCAGTGGCACCCCGCCCGCCTGGCAAGTGTAAGTCCTGAGTTTGATCTCCGGTACCAACAAAAAAAAATCATGGACACAAAGCAGACATATACAAACTTGCGACAAATCAGTAAATCAGAAACAGAATGGGTCTGTGGCAAAGGTAAAAACTTCTAATTAGGTGGGAAAGAGTGGACCATTTATCAAGTGATCCAATGAGAACCAGCCTCTGAATACGTATACGCAGCCAGCCCACACCAGGCATGCAGAAAGGGCACTTCAACTGCTATTTTCTTTAAGAATAATTACTATGTCCGGGACTGAGACTGCTTAATGGGAAAGACATCTCTGGAATGGCATTTCCTAAATCACAGGCAAGAATCCACAAAGATGGCTAGATGTGTTTAAAAATGGTACCTTTGAAAAACTGGTGGTCCAGGCATCTGGTTATCTACCCAAAGGCCTGCATTTTAGCTTTTTTTTAACATCCACTTAATCTGGCAGTCTGACCCCTTTTTCCCAACTGAACTCTGACCTTCATGCTCTGAGAAAATGTCCCACAGGACCGGGCCCTCCTTAACTGTCTTCCTTCTAATCTATGGAAATTCCTGTGGTTCTGTGTAATGTACAGTACACAATTTTTTGCACATAGTTTGGATGAAATGTTAAAGAAAACATGAAAAAAAGAAGACAAGAGAAACAGGAAGCAGGGAGAAGTCCTAACAATTCCCCAAATTATATATTCCATGAAATATTTAAAAATATTTCAACATATATGCTAATTTGTTTTATTAATACCACTAGATCCTCTTAGTTCACCGAAAAGAAAGTTTTGCTTTTTTATCTGTTTCTTTTTTGTAAGAGTCTTTTTAGTTCATGACTTGTATGCTTAACATTCTGGCTATACTTTTAAGATTATGTTACACAGTGTATTAACTAATGTCCTTTAATTTGTTATGAGATTTTGCTTTATTTTTTCATGGACTTAAGGCTACTTTAAAAATATTTTAATATCTATTTGTATTATTATTATTTTATTTTTCATGTCTTTTGGTACTAGGAATCAAACTCGGGACCTTGCGCTTGTGAGGAGGCAGGTGGTGGAACCACTGAGCTAAATCCCTGGCCCCTACTTGCATTATATTGAAATATTGTTTTTAAGTACAAGTAAAATTTGCCTAGAAAAGAGAAAAATTAAACTTATAACCAATCAATGCCATCAGGGTCTTCTGAGAACAAACCGCCACGCTGAGAGTGTTGGGCCTGGAGATGCGAGGGAACCCTGGCATCTGCAGCAAGGACAAGCAGGGTGACAGCAGAGACGGAGGGGTGGAAGCCACGTTAGGACACACACGGTGCTGGGACAGGCAGCAGCCCGGCAAAACACACTTCATCCCATTACTTTCGCTCTTATTAGGTAAGATGACAGGAGATGCATTCCTAAGAAAGCAGACCTAGCAATGGGTCTACTTCACAGCTCTACAGAAACCTTCACCGTGTTGTACAAGTTTGACAAAAGGAAGTTAACGAGTGCCGTGCTCCCTGACCGAGGCGGATGAGGGCCTACTCCTGAATCACAGGACAGAGAGCAGCAGCAAGGACGGCTCCTCACCCGATGGCGCCTTGCATGGCGTTCGCACGGACGCAGGTAACGATGATGCAGTCCTTCTGGCGGCCCTGGAAGGCGTCCACGGTGTCCACCTCGGCTGGTCTGTTACACAGAGACATGTTCACTTCAGAAAGCAAAATCATTAGTAAACACGCAGCACCACTTTAACCTTTCTGGGGGTATCTTAGCTGTCGCGCTAATCTGCTCTCTCCCTCCTGCCCCGGGGTCACCAGCCCATGTCCCTCTCTCTCGAGTCTCTTTGGAACCCTAAAATGTGCTCCTCTGGGACTGGCTTTTTCTCTTAACCAACACACCCAACTGGAGACTTAGCACAGTTTACCTATTTATAACGAATAGACACAGGCTATTTCCAGGGGCTACTGTGTTGCTCTAAGTATTCATGGGAAAGTTTCTGTGTGGACATTTTCAATTCTTTAGGGTATATACGTAGAGCGAAACTGCTGGGTCAGATGGTAATTCTACACTTAGTATCTGAGGAATCACCACAGTGCTTTCTGCAGCAATTTATCATTTTCTGTCTCCTCACCAGCAATGTATGTGTGTAAGGGATCCAAGTCTTCCACACCTTCCCTTGCCTGCTGTCTTTAATTCTAACCATCTCGGTGGATGTGAAGCGGTATATAGTGCTTTTGATTGTCACTTCCCTAGTGACAAATGATACTGAACATCTTTTCATGTGCTTATTGGCCACTTTTACACACCACCCTCTGTATCAGAAATTGAACTCAGAACCTTGCACCTTTCAGGCAGGCGTGGTGCCACTGGGCTACAGCCCCAGCCCTTATATATCTTCTTCTGCAAACTGTTCAAATTTCTTACCAATTCTTAACACTGAGTTGTGAACATTCTTTATATTCTAGATAGGAGACTCCTGCCAGATACACGATTGCAAGCATTTTCTTCCACTTCGCCGGCTGCTGCCCTCCCTTCTTCCTTCTGCAGTGCTGGGTGACAGAACCCAGGCCGCGTGCGTCCCACGTAAGTGTGCTACCACTCACTACACCCCAGTCCCTCCGACTCTTCTCACAGTGTCCTCTGACACAGCCTGTTCACTTTCATGCAGTCGGGGTGTGTGTCTCCCTTTGGGGTCATCGCTAAGAAACGACCACTTAATGTGAAGCCACGCAGACGCCCGTGTGCCGCTGTCTGAGCCCCGCGCTGCCTCCCGCTGTGGGGAGCGCTGCTGTCTTCACGGCCGTCTCCCCCTTACTCGGTGTCTCCTAACTTCTGACCCACCACGCCTCATAGCTCCCCACGCTAAGCCTTACACTGCTGTGGCTGTTTATTTCTAAGTATTTTATTCTTCTGGATGCAGCTGTACACAGCACTCTTTCCTTCTCAGATTGTTCGCTGCTGACCTTGCTCCCCGAGCCCTACCGATACGCCTGCTGACCGGCACTAGCTTTCTCTTCATTCGTAGGGCGATGCTGTCTACAGAGACGGCGTCTCACTTCTTCCCTTTGCTCCTTTTCTTGCTCACCTGCTCTGGCTGTCCCTCTGGTTAATGTGGAACAGAGCAGTGGGAGCAAACACCCCTCACGACCTCAGGGCAAAGGCTTCCACACTGGCATCAAGAATGAGGTCGGCTGTGAGGTTTTCGTGGATGCCTTTATTAAGGGAAGACATCTCCTCTGTATCCTTACTCTGTCCAGTGTTTTTACCGAGAAAGAGCACTGGATTCCACCAGCTGCCTTGTCTGTATCTAAGTGGACCATTATGCAGGCCCCTCATACTCTGTAATAAATCCGGGCACCACGCTGCTTTTCCTATGTTCACCCAACTCTGCTTCCTTGGGACAACTCTCACTCGGGTGAGGGCCGGATGCCGCTCGGTGGCATGGCACCTGCCTGGCAGGTCATCCTTTCGCTACACTGCTGAATTAAGTCTACTACTTTTTCGTTCAGGACTTTCACATATGGAATAAATCACGCAGCTGGCAGTTCTCTGGCTCTGGTAGGTGGGTAAGTATTACCCTCCTAGAAGGACCTACAAACTACGTAGGGAGGAGGGGGTAAAAATGATGAAGAGACGTCTGTGTTTCAATATCACAGCTGAATGCAATCACTAAGTATCGGAAACATTTACTGAAAAGACACTCAGGGTCGGGGAGAATTATACTATTTTGGAAGAGTCTGAGGACTAGTGTTAATTCTTGTTTGTGTGGTTGGATGAACCAGCGAGCCTGTCTTGGGCTTTTCACCCCTGCGCAGTTTGAGTACTTAACCCTCTCTCTACTTGTTACACAGGGCTGTTCAGATGCTCTGGCTTTTGCAGAGTTAATTCTAGCAGTCTGTGTAGTTTTGGGTTAAGAGACTTCTGAGGAAATAGTACTGTTAATTTTGCTGCAGAGGAAGAAGACAAAAACAATCTACACTCTATCCATAAAGACCCCGGAAGTGGTACACGATCCATTCCAAGGGACTTCGCCGGGGCTCCTCACCAGCCCCGCTGTCCGCACAGGGCTGACTTCTGGGCGCCCGTCCTGGGCCCCGACCCCACCCACACGAGTCCCAGCCACCCGGGGCAGCGCCGTGTGTTGTCGCCCCTTTCTGTGGTCTGAGACCACTGCCTCGAGTGCAGTTTCCTTTCCCTCCAGCTTCTAATTCCACAGAAAAACTAGAAACGTCTGTAAAAGTACCTTACCCTTTCCTATCAAACTCTCTGTCCAGGTCCTTCTGAATCATCATCTTCTGAGCCTTGTAATGAGTTATGATGCCAATGTTTCGGAAATTAATCTCTCTCTTTTTTTCTTTAATAAGTTTAATTATTTCCATCACCAATTTTATTTCTTGAGCATTTACATATGAGCTAAATAGGACAGGAGAAAAAAAAAAACACACATCAAGACCCACCGCAGAGTAACTGCTAACAGGCACCAGTTAACTTACTTCCCCCAGGTAAGGGGCAGGCGGGCCAGTTTCACCACAGATGTGACAATGACCACGGCTATCACACACTGCAATAAATGCAGACAACCGCCCGGGGCAACATGAAGCCACAGAGGAAAGTCTGGAGTCAACTGACGCTTCAGCACCACTCTGTCACAGCCACCACAGTGAGAGTCACACGAACAGCAACGGGACTCACAGAAACGCAAACACGGATGGAGCGCTTACGTGACTTGCTATCGCCCACGGACTGAGGGACAACGTCAGAGCCCTCTTTCCCTTTCTCCACCACCGGGGACACAAGCCACACACCCCAGGGCAGAGGAGACGCCACCCACACAGGCCGCCGAGTCCACAGAGCTGGTGCCGCGGGCCTGCAGCACTCCACGTGCACCCCCTCCCCGCCTCTCCTGGCCCTGAGCCACCCCAAGTGCCTGCACCCCGGTTACCCCATCACCGCCATCCCGCAGCACAAGGGACACCAGGGGACGTGCTCCCTGCTTGGTGCTCCCCAAGCTGTCTGTCTCCCTTGCTGCTCTCCAGACGACCCAGTCCGCTGGCCGCGTGCTCCCTCCCCAACCTTCAGCGCCCTGGCTGTTTCCTGGTGAAGCCCCTCTGACCGACCCTCCAGATGCCACCCCACTTACAACGCCAACCTCTCAGTCCTGCCGCAGGCTGCGTCAGCCAGACAACCCCTCTTGTGTGTTTTTGTTTTTCTCAGAACTGGGGATGAGTCCAGGGCCTTGGCACTGAGCTACATCGTCAGCCCTTTCTCTATTGGGAGACAGGGTGAGGGCTCCAGCCAGCGACCCTCTCCCTAAGCCCCCCACCCCCAGGTTCCAGGTGACAGGTGCGCTGTGCGCAGGGCCCCTGCTGTGTTTCTCTCCACCCCTCCTCTGTCCCAACACCACCCGCCCGCGGTGCTCCCCGACAGGACAGTGGAACTGGGGCTTCCTCTCTCCATGAGAGGGGGCACGGGCGCCTGCACTCTCTGGCTCCTGCCACATCTCTGTCACCGCCCCTCTGTACTGTCACTTACAGCTGGCCCAACACCTCCCTCATCCACACCCCAAGCCCTAAGCATGGTGCCGTCTTTGTGTCGACCCCTCCCACTCTCACCCTAACTCGTGACCTGCACTTCTCCTGCCCAGCCAGAGCCTCCGGAAAGGCCGACCTAGTCACTGCCGTTTCCCCGAGACCCTGCCATCCCCGCATGCATCTCCTCAGTGCTTGCCGAATACTTGCAGTCACTGCACTACACAGACGGGTGAAAATCACTGTGCCCTGGCACTGAGTAGAGAGATGTGCACAGCAAATGTTTCTAACACAAATCGACACAAAAATCGTAGGGCAATTCTGAGACCATCACTGGGAAACAGAGGAGAACTTACTCATTATCCCGTCTTTCAGAACCGTCTCCAACATCAAACACAAGGTAAGGCTGAAAGGGCCAGTCTGACGAGCATCGAAGAGCTTCAGTAAACCTGCAAGAGAACAGCCACCTTCAGAATCCAAGCCACAGGACAGGCTACACACTGTTCTGCTGTGTCGGGAGGGGCAAGAGGTCTTCTACAGATGTGCACAGTAAAAGGCCCAAACGGACTGTATTTCTATTCTAGTGCTAGAGAAAGTGGTCTCTAACAATTATGACTAGAAACTGCTCAAAATACTGTAAATGAAAAAAGAAAGCCGCACAACACTGTGTAGTTCAATTTTTAAAAAATTAACAAAGAGAATGAATAGCGCTGGGAATGGTGGTGGATGCCTGTAATCCCAGAATGTGCAAGGCTGAGGCAGGAGGACTGCCGCAAGTTTGAGGGCGGTCTGAGCTAACAGTGGGAGTCTATATTAAAACAAACAAACAAACAAACAAACAAAAACACAGGAAAACCAAAAGAGAACAAATAAAAGACGTGTGAAAGGACTGGCAGCTGGGCAGTGGCACAGCCCGCACATAGCCTGAAGCCCTGGGTTCTGTCCCCAGCACCAAGAAGAACAACACAGAAGAGTGGAGACAGATATGCCAATAACTTGTTTCTGGACAGTATAAACGTGGGTGACCTCGCCCTTTCTGCTTATCTGCATTCTAATCCAGCCAATATTATTACAATTTCATGTGACAAGACTCAAGAACACAATAAAATGGGAATTCCTCCTAAGCAGTGAGCCCCATCAACAAGGTAAGCTGACAAGTCGCGAAGGGAACATACCTATGTGTTTTCAAGCTTTTGTTATAAATGTAATTGGACGGGAAGAGGCAAATGTCCGGGTGCATCCTGTACTGGACCGTGAGCTGCAGCACCGGCAGCCTGCCGATAGTGTTCTGCTCCAGTCTTTCCTCCAGCAGCCTGCAGAAGCGCGCCATCATCGACTGGTCATAGCCGTAGTCCTGGGCCTTCTGTCAGGGAGAAAAGAGCAATCATCCCCGGCCACTCGCGTATACCTTTATCAGGCCCTGTCTACAGCAAGGTTCACGTAGCCCAAGATCCCTCACAATCACACTCAGAGAAAGCACACGCTTCTGGAAAAGCCACGTAGCCGGAGTATCACTGAAGTTCCAACACTCACAAGGCTTGTGACAGAGACACGATCTTATGAGTGACACAATCGAATCTATGTTATTACTGAAAGAGTCAGTAAGAAAGGAAGAGACTGATCACAGGCTTGGACAATTATTTCCGGCGTACACCCTCACACGAGAGAGATCAAAGGCCACTGTGAACAAGTCTTCTGAAGATCCGTTTCTGCATCCACCCAGCCGGCATGTACTTCATCTAGAGTACTGCGACTGCCACAGTGAACAAGATCAAGTCTCACAGAATGAATTCTCCAGTAAAGGACACAGACTGCAAACTGAAATGCACTCACAAAAGAGATTTCACAAACCAAGTAACGAGTCACAACCTGCAGCGCAGAAAAACAGCGACTGAAATGACAAATAAAACTGCCTCGGCACTACCACAGGGGCGTCCTGAGGGGTGCTCGCCAATGACAGCAGCACACAGATGCAGCGAGCACTGCGTCTCGGGTGGCCCACAAGTGAGGATGTGCTTGGCAGACAGCAGTGTGCGAAGGTGTCTTCAGGAGGAGCCGAAGACACAGGCTCTGGAGACGCAGTGATACTCTCCCGTCTCACCGGCATTACCTCGTAAGGCACTGCTTATACATGTAATTTTAAATAGATCTGTCTAACTAAATAAATAATTATTAACTGACATTTCACAATTTTACCTTCTTCTTCAAGAGTTTATCAGGGCAAGCCCCAGACCTGTGTGTCTTTTTTTTTGGGCAAACAGAGAAAGGACTTATGTAAGATAACACATCTATTTCTACAAAAAACTGAGTTCATCTACACAATGACACAAAATCTATGTTATTCCTGACCAATTTACTGATTCATAAAAAGCCAATTTTGTATACATCATTCCACCATCTTCAAACTAAAAAAAGATACACACATTACACATATGCGAAGTTCATCCCCCCTGTGTCCTATTAACTTACTATGGCCCTTATCCACTAAGACAGAAGCCACCTGAGGGCAGAGATTTTTGTCCGTTTTCTCCACTATCATAACCCCAAAATCTGAAAGAGGCCTCGATGATGTTGGTATTCAATAAATACATACTGAAAAAAATGAGGAGGTGCCCGAACAAATGCCCAGCAAAACCTATTAAAATCCTACACTTTTCACGTCTTAGAAAGAGATGGTTAGAAAGACATGCTGTGGAAATGAACTCCATAATTATTTTTAATTCATTTCAATATGCCCGTTTTCTTTTATGCAGCAATAAAAATGCCCAAATGGAGGGGTTTTGGTCACTTTTGCTGTTTTTATCAAGCACCAAGGGAGGCACCGCAGTCGAGGCTCCTTAAGAACCCCTCTCACCACAAGCTAACTTCCTTCACGGAGTTACATCGGTGGTGTCTGAAGCTCGACACCACGGAAGGACTGCGGCAGCACCCGCTCTGCCCTCCGCCCTCTGCCCCGAGAACAGGCTCCTGCAGCTGTCCTTCCCCGTCAAGGCTCCCCCTCAGCCAGGCATGTGCCACTGTGCTGCCCCAGCACAGTCGTGCACTCATGCTAAGCAATTCCAGAGTCAAAAAAGACGACCACAAAACTGTGCACACTCATTCCACAATTGAGGAGAAATGCTTTGAAAATGATTACAAGGGATTATAAGGGCGGTACTGTATAAATTATATATTATAGCAGGGCAGATCCGTAACCCCAGCACTCTGAGAGGCTGAGGCAGGAGGCTGAGTTTTAGGCCAGCCTAGGCAACTGAGCCAGACACCCTGAATCAAAAACAAAAGATAAGTAGGGGTAGAGATGTAGCTCAGTGGCAAAGTGCTTGCCTATCATGTGCAAGGCCTTGGGTCCGAGCCTCAGTACTGCAGACAAGAAAAAGATTTATTAGTAAACCCTCTTTATTACATTTCAAAAGCACACCCCAGGCTTCTCCAGATTACCCCACACTGAGGCTCAGGTGCGTGAGTAGCAGACATGTTTAATACGACTGAACAAGGCAGCCTGGACCACACTCTGGGTGCTCAGCAGAAGCGGAGTTTACAGTTAGCGCCCTCCCGCCCCAAACCTTCACTGCAAATGAGGCAAGGGGCACATTTTCTGGGACTACAGGAAACAGAATTCCAAATTGGAAAGGTACTCCAAAATATCCTCTTTATGTGATCTTCATCAAAGTGTGTGCATTTAAATATAAACTAGCAGATGAGAGTCTTTTCTTGCTTTTGTAAGCATGCGCATAGCCCAGGCAGTGGAAGCCACCATGCAAGAGTGGGCTTCCCACCTGCAGTCTCCGGCGCTCACTGCTCCTCCACACACAGGAGCGCATCAACGAAGGGACGGGACACTCGCAGCCAGCAGCCAGCTTTACTTACCTCAAACAGTGCTTCTCTTTCCTCATTCCCCACTTTCCCCTCCTCCCTCCCTCTCTCTCTTTTTCAGGGGGTACTGAAGATCAAGCTTGGGTCCTTGTGCTTGTGGAGCAGGTGGTGGCACCACTGAGAAAACCCCCGACCCTTTCCCCTCTAGATTAATGAGAGGACAATGCAAAAAAGAGCCACCCTCTGAAAAACAAAGCATGCCCCTCCACCCTCACCACGGAGACAGACAAACATGACTCACCATGGAGATGACCGTGGGTGGGAGCTGCTTAGGGTCTCCTACCAGGATGAGCTTGTTGCAGCGGTGAATGAGAGGGGTCAGAGTCTCAACCTCACAGGACTGCCCAGCCTGGGGGGAGGAGAGCACAGAGGGAGGACACAACGGCCTCAGCAATCCCTGCGACTCGCGGATCCATCCATGCACAACCTACCTACTTCACCATGTTCTTACCATTCGGAAAGTACATTTTAAAACAAAAGCATGATTTCATTCGTTAAAAACAAAAACACCCACCAACAACAAAACAAACTCTGTAAACACGATTTAGGAAAAACAAATTCAACATGTGTTTGAAAATCAGCCACCACAGGTGCCTCTCCAACGGGGAGCCCCAGTCAGCAGGTGGGTGGCGTGCGTCCTAGGCCCGCGGCTGTGGCTCCCCTGGGCATGGTGCTGAGAGAACGTTTTCACCTCTGAGGTCCCTTTAGAAACTGATCTCTGAAGTTCAGCTCCCACATGAGGAGCATCTGTGCTTCCCCCACTTTTCTGCCTTCTTTCTCAGTAGGCCTTTCCAATCACCAGATTCGTTTCTCTTTAATTCAATGACATTTTAATTATTCCATCGCTTGTCTTTCCTGCTCTTTTATTTGGTGAATATCGGCTTCACGTTTATTGTTGAAGTATCTACATGGTAGAGTATCAGATTTTGTATCTCCTGCCCTGATTCTGTGTCTAATGCTCCATTCCTTCTGTCTTTTCATTCTGGCCGACAGTAAGTAAGCAATAAAGGTGTACTCAGTGCATCACCCAGGAACAACCAACATGAGCTGGGTGTACAAGGTTACAAGTAGTTACTGTAAGTAACCTAGAGACGACTCAAGCACATAGGAGGGTGCCCACAGGCCATACACAGTACTTCGAAAGGTACCCAGACATTTTGAGGAGGAGCTGAAGAATCACTCAGCAGGGATTTTGCCGGAAACTACTAGGCATCTTTAAGACTGTAATCCCAGTCGTGGAAGAGCGATTTCAATCAAGGTGGCCAAGAGCAGGTAAACATCAGATGTTGAAATCACTTTGACCAACCCTTCGGCACCCACAGCACTGTTCAAAACCGCATGATCCATGCTCACTGACCTCATCAACAATGACACAACTGAAGGGGACACCTCCCTGCCCCCGAAAAGCAGACTCGAGCAGCAGACCGCCACTGGTGCTCAGCGTGCAGCAGATGATGTGGGACTCTAAAATAATGATGCTCTGGGTCTTCTGCGGGCGCCCTTGAACCTAGGAGAACGAGGAGAGGTTGATCATATTCAGCTGCATGTAAATTATTACCTATGATAAGCTTCTTTTTATATAAAACTACCATTTACTATGTAACAAAAATAAATTAAGTAGGGCCGGGGCTTTAGCTCAGTGGACAAACACAAGGTCCTGAGTTGCATCCCTGGAACCAAAAAAAAAAAAAAAAAAAAAAAAAAAAAAAAAAA